CTACTGCCACCTTGTTTGAAAGAACAAGAAACCAGATTTTTTTTTCAATACCAATTTGTTCAGACTTCCTATCATGCTAAATTATCTGGAAAACCCATCATAATGACAAAATAATACTAGTAATCAAATAATGTAATATAAAGTGAAAATTACAAAATGAATTTAGAATCTGGTAAGGAAGTAGTGACCTCCAATGGTCAACCATTAATAGCCAAAAACTGAGTAAAGGTCCTGTGTTACTGTGTGATTGTGTGGGGACAGGAGATCACATACATTCTCAGTGGTTCCAGTGATTACATGAAGTCCATCGTAAGTCGATTTTATATACATCCCCTGGATGGACAGAGGGAGGAGGAGATAAAAGAGCAGTTTAAATATTTAAGCACCGTACTTGTTATGATACACTAGAATCGTGCAAAATAAAAATTTAACGCTAATAATTTAATGCTAACATTTTTCACGTACACTGCAATTCTGCTTACTTTGTCTGTAATGTGTTAATTGGTTTATAATGTTCACGTACCAGGCCTTCTGTGGGCATAGGGTTACTAAGGTAGATGATCTCTAGGTGGGCAGACTGCGAGACCAGGGAGTCAGAGGACAGCGAGATGATGTGCTCACAGACTCGGGATAATGTTTTACACTGTGGGTGCAGAGACAATCATAAAAGGTGGGTCTAGCTTATGGAAAAAATCTATAGCTATGGTATGTTTTAACATACAAGATAATTATGTTACTTTAAAATTATTTGACAAATTATATCCATAACGTTATTACACAATCACAGACCACATTTCAAGCACAATTCATGCAGATATGTTTAAATGCTAAATATATGCTGAAATAATAATAATAAAAAAAACATTTATGGCTTTAATAAGTCAGATAACAAATCCCACTGCAACCAGTGTAACTCTCCCCAACCCATCATACCACCATTGCTGGTAGTGACAGGTAGACATAGATTTTGTATTTAATACTCAGCCATACAAGTTATAGCATAATGGTCGCTGTACAAATGTGTGCAGCTTGCAATCAAGAGATTTTGTCCTGGGACAAATTGAGCATAAAAATACTGTTATACCATTTACTAAAATACTGAGCTCAAATGTGTAAAAATGTGTATCTCAAAAGGAAACACTCAGATAACAACAGCATTGTTCATTTTTTTCCAAACAGAATGTTCAAATCTTGGTATTTACAATCTGAAAACTTTAAAAACAAGTATGTTTAAGGTATATGTTAAAAAATAAATCATTCAAATAGTGCCCCCCCCACAGAATGACTTTTACACCTTTGAAAATATGTTCCAATGGAAAGAAATGATCTATTTCAGCAGTTGTACGGCTTATAAACCTTAATATAACTTAAACTCCCGTGTATGGATTCTGGTACTCTTCAGACTATAAATAAACATTCTGAGTCTCTGCCTGAGGCATAAAAACATAAATAAATAATCCTCGTAAATCAGAGTGTGTAAAGAAAAGGGATGGAGTAAGAACTCACCACATGAAGGATCTTGTTTTCCATCTCATACACAGTGCTGTCCTACAAGAGAAGAGAGGCGGCGGAGAGAGACGCCATGACATCAGCTGCAAGCGGCCATGTATTACAAGGTGACTTGACTAAATACTTAATACTGACACTTACAAGCTGTGATCCTAAGAGTTGGAGTTGAATGTTATATAAAACATATCTCAATATAACTGTATTGCATTCTTTGTTGATTTCAGAACGGCAATAGCTACTAACACAGCCAGTACCTCCCTCCTACTGGTGGTGTAAAACAGGAACATATTCTATGGAGGAGCTCTCGATAAAGGACCACAGGACAGGCTGCCAGCAGTCACCCTGGCACATGCTGTGACACCTACAGTAGCAGCTGGCAAGGGCATTTGCAAGACTGCAGCTTTCAGAAAGTGGTGGCACTTTGAGAAATTACACGAAACGTGTCAGGCATGCACTTCACAGCTGTTTCTTCACTACTAACTTCATTGTAGAGGCGACACTCTCAGTAGGATAATACCTGATTATTAAACAAAAAGAAACCCATCGTACGTTTCTTACGTATGTACAAATTCAAACATATACAAAGATTAGTAATTCAGGTATAATTATATAATATAAAAACCAAACAATTTCAACACAATTAAACAGCTGGAAGACAAATAGTCAAATACCTTGTTTTTCATCGTTTTTGGATGCAGCCTGACATTGTACTAAAGACCCGGCTATCCCTAGATTAGACACAAGTCCTACTTGTTTCTCAATAGGGTTGTAAAAATCTGGGCACAGTCACAGGCGGAGTAGAGGTGTGTAACTGCAGCAGTAAGTACTTTCCACATCTTTTCCCAGAGATGCTGGAAACAGGATAATTCACGCGTCCAACAGAAGGTCTCGTATAAAAGCTTGACATTTATCCCAGTGTGTATGGTTGATTTTGTTTCAGTCATGAATAAAATATTAATTTAAGGCTAATGAGAACTTGTGAGAAGTATTCTGTAACACTCTCTATGAATGCCATGTCTGTAAGAATATATGAACACATTCATAACTCATTATAACGCATTCATAAAGCATTATAAGCATGACTATAAATATATATAAAAATGAATAACACATTCTAGCCATGTTTATTATGCCTTTTGAATGTTCTATGAAGGCCTATAATGCACTATAGATACCATCATAATGCAGTATAAAGCATCCTTAATTCTTATACTAACCATTATAATACATTATGAAGGTATCTATAGTACATTATAGTTGAGAGCTTCACTAGAGCTTGTGAAGTATTATAATCAACACTATAATGCCTTATGTCAATAGCAGTTGCTGTAATGCTTTATTAATTTTTATACCAAAATTATAATGCATTATGGATGTATCCATAATGCATTAAAAATACAGCTTCAAATAAAATTTTATGAAGTATTCTTCTGCAGTAGAGCATCTTACCTGTTGTACTATGGTAGTTAACTCCAGGCACAACTGGACAATGTGGTTTTTAAGGAGAGAGTACTCTGTCACAGTGACAAATGGGGATCTGAGAGAATAAAAATAAGGATCCTTTAAATAACAGATTAAACATTACAGCAGCAAAAACTGCAAAAAAAATGAAATTGAAAAATTTGGATCAAGCAACCATTGGGTGAGCCCAATAATACTAATTAGCCCTCACCTATCCAGCCAGGCAAGAAGATTCTTAGCAGCGCCAATAAGGTCCACCACAGAAGTGAGAAAGTCATTGGGTAGGCGTCTTGAAGCTCTGCCATCGTAGTGTCCACCCCGACGGCGACCTGTGATAAAGTTCTGTAGATTCTTGGCAAAAGCATTCAGCTTGTGAGACAATGTTCGCAGGTTTTCTGTTTCTAGCCCATAATTCTGAAAAACACATAAGAGGGATTCGTTTAGCTTAATCCGACAACTCCAAGCAAAGCTCTGATACTTCATTACTCAAAGTGTATTTTGGCTCAGTATAGTTTGAACGGAGAGAGTATTTCAATGAAAGGTCAGAAATATTTAAATGTTAAATAAACCCTTCACTGATGCAATAAATATGTGATCAAGCATAGCTTCACCAATCAAGTCACACAGAAAGACCCATCAGTGCATAGAGAGACTGTCCGAATGGGGTGATGAGCTGCAAAAGCAAACTATCAGTAGATTCATTAAGTCACGGCTTCATTCAGGCCCAATATACAAGAACACATAGCTAATCCACCTCTGTGGATACATGGGTATGTGGAAGAGAGTCAAATCTGGGAATTTGTTGTGGCAGGATGTGCAAACTGCAAACTTTATCCTTGGGGACTTAGGGGGATTTGCATCTCTTATTGTTTCAGATCCCATTGATGAATAGGTTCTACATTTTACTTGAATCTCCTTTGATTATTATTCATCCATAGTATTCATTAGTTCACCAGTAGTTATTAGTATTGCTGTATTGTTCATAGAAAAAAATGCATTTATCACGAAAGTGTTGCATTCGTGAGGATAAACAAAGTGTTTATCCTCAAGATTTTGTAAAATTCAAATGACTTTAATCAGTTGCCTAACACCTTCAGACAAAAATTATAACTCTTCCAAATAATTTTAATTGATCAGCCAACCTGTAGGTCAGTAGTTCTCAACCCCCATTCTGTGGAACCCTGGAGTTTAGGGGAGGGGTTGTATAATTTCCCAAAGTGAACAATTTATTTTCCAGCCACACCTCCAAGGTAAAAGGAGCAGCTCATTTCCATCTTAAGTGGTAAATATCCCAAATCTGCTACGGATGCTGAGCAAATTATGTTAGCGTTTGCTCCAGAGGCACATGTATGTATTAATATGTGACTTATGTCATGTAGGTATTTTATCATCCAATATTGTTTAAAATGTTGAGGGACCATATGTAGGGTATAATAAATCAGCCTCTTTATGCAGTGGAGACATTTACTCAGCCCTTACTCTTCTTTGCCCCTCTTCAATAGGTTGCTAAGGCAACCTTGGGCCATGCCTTTTTAATAGTTCTCAGCCTGATATTTTCTTCATTCCTTCATGATTTATTGATTTTTTTCCCTCTCCACCTCATTCAAAATAGCATCCCTGCCTTCTAGCCCTAGAGATTCTTTTTTCTGTCTTGTTTAGCCTATAACTATTCGATAGACCATTATACTTGACACTAAGAATATAGTTACATACTACATATGAAATCTCGTTCCTTCATGAAATCACTAGCTCGTTGGGCAAACAAACCAGTATATCCAATACACCAAATATACAGTAGATGACCTCATTGGTTGTGCATGGTGCAGTGGTAGGGGGAGTCTACAAAGATAAAATTTGGTTCCAGGGGGGAGGGGGATAGTAACAAAGTTGTTGACTGGGGGTACCCAACAATAAGATTTTTGAAAGTTGTTGGGGGGTGGCCTCCGGACGTGAAAATGTAGGACAAATCATGTCCTGTATTGGTTCAAAATGGAACACAGTATTTCATTATCCTATACAGGACGACTCCGTGAAACGAGGTTAAACAAGGTTAGTTGTGGCCCCTGGCCTTCAGCCTGGGTAAACCTGTGCATGAAAGCGTCCCTGGTTCTGTGCTGGTGGAACGGCTATTTCCAAATTGCTTTGTATTGAACCTGTCATTCTCTTTTCTCTTATGTGGATCAGGTGTCTCCAATCTTGAGCTGAGTACAGTGAGATCTACTTCCACAAAATATTTTTCCTCCAGTATTCTAATGCTGATGGGTGGAACAGGTTCCTCTTTATTGGCTTCTGTTTGGCAGGTTAAACCTGCATTTACTTTTGATTGGACGCCTTCCATAAGCCACATTCAATAGTATAAACACATCAAAGCAATACAGCAAACAGCATAACACAATCATATCTTTATAATTATAAATATGAAACTAATTAATGTCAGTTGCCCATTGTAATGGATGAGGGAATGTTGTTCCACTGAATACTACAATTTTTATTTAACAGATGCTTTTGCACAAAGTGGCATTCCTGTGAAGCATGTAAACATTTGGCATATCCTGGTATCTTACTGTTGAACTCAATGCTCTTCCCCCAGTTCATGCACATACAAGAATATAACCATTAATAATCAAATCTTTTTCACAATAAACACAATTGAAAGCAAGCATAAAACACAAGTGGAATATTCAGAAAGAGCAATTTTCTATTTTAAGATAAGAAAAATATATCTGTAGAAATAGTGGAAAAATGCAAGTGAAGAATTTTAAATTTAGAAGACTTGGATGAGTGATTGTTAAGGCATTTGTGACAACTTTGCCATTAACATAATATATATTTCGTGTAATATCATTCATTTTAATGTAGTCAATCCCTTGTGATGACCAGAAATAGTTTGGAAACAACTATGTATGAGCATGTAGTGTAAGGGGCCTTAAAGAAAGTGAAGAGAGATATAAAAGTCAAGTTTCACATTATGCTAGGTATGCAAGGCCACTTCTCCTTTATGCTTCGGTGATACAGAAACTCTGGCAAGCCGTCACTCGAAAGGGCGCCGCTGGGAAATCTCCAGGCCACGTGCACCAGAAGCCTTGCAAAAACTGGCATCAAAGAAAAGTGAGGCATGCATGTTTTTGAAACACTTTTGCAACTCGGGGTGACAGTGCGGCTATAGCTGTGAGCTACTCACTAGAGCACACAGCAGATCCACAGACTCCAGGATGAGTTCCTGATGCCCGATGCGGGTAACGCCGAGCTCTTCCAGCTCCTGGTGGGTGATGTGCAGCAGCTCTTCCCCACTGATCTGTTCCCTCTCAAAGTTCTTGATGTACTGCTGAAGGCAGTCATCCAAGCCTGGAGAGACAGGAGGAAAAGGGCCAAGCATGTTGTTCTTAGAAAATTTGAGTTAGGAAAACATTATTCCTACTTCAGCTGTAACTGTACTCGGGGCCGATCATGAGGGGGGAGAAAGGTGACGACCAGTAGGGGCTCAGACACTAGGGGGCCGCAGTGACACAATTTTTACCATGCCAGCTCAGTCAGGACCCAATATTAAGTATAGATTTAAATTAGCATAATAATCAAGCATACAGTGCACTCTGCAATTTATGCCAAATGCCTGTTACAGAAATCTGATTGGATGTTCCAGTGAATTTTAAATTAAGCGTCTGTGGTTTGGCTTCTTGTATTGGTTGAGTGTTCACTAGTTTTGCACTAAGGATTTGCAGACCCTAGACCCGTTTATATAGGTTAAACTCGTCTTGAACTAAAAAGAGTGTGTGTGTGTGTTTGTATATGTATGAATGTATGTATAAATTATCTCAAAATCTTGGATGCCTCAAAACTGCCACTGATTGTGTTGATAATGGCTTCACAATGAGTATCCAGGTAACCAGTTTCATGAGCAAATCACCCCACATGCCATCCCAGCTCTTCTGCAGCAGTTCCTAGAGACACAGAGTGCTTCTGGGTCGCTTCCAAATACTTTCTATGGGATTGAGGTTTGGAGACATCTTCACCAGATGGTTCTTGCCAGATTCTGAGGTGTGTTTTCCGTCATTATTATCCTGATGCAAAGGCAAGCCTTTTCAATGTGCTGGTTTCGATTATGATGTATTTGGTAAAAAATCACCAGTTCTCTCATCAGCAAAGCAACCTTAGACCACAGTGCGGCCTCCTACTTGCTTAACGGTATGAACTATATCGTGATTGGACCAAAATATTTCTAATTTTGTCAAATTGTAATTCCACTCCTGTTGGTAAAAAGCCATATAGAGTTTAAAGCACATACAATGATGGTTTCCAGCAGGTGTACTCAAACTTTTGATTGGCACTATGCATGTACTGTATAATATTTCTTGGAACTGGCAAATCACTTTTCACCCTGAGGACAATGTTCCTTCCTCTCTAGGGAGAAAAAATGTAGAACACGGTCAGAACAAAAAGCACCATTTTTTACCTTTGATGGTATAATTACTTTTCACGTGGTCCCTTTATTTTGTGGTTTTCCCCTTTGTGTTCTGTTTTTATTAATAAACCCTATTTTTGTGAGCTGCCCTGTGGATCGTCCATATTTCTCCTCCTTCGTCATGCCCCACTGTTGCACAAGCTTCTTGTCTCCCCTCTTCACCCTACCATCTGACACAATATCATTGTCCAGCTTGGACCACCAATGTCACTGCCAACTCTTAAGACCCAGTCTGGGTTCACTGCCTCACATGATAATTGCTATGGTGACATAAGAACATAAGAAACTTGATGTGGAGAGGAGGCCATCCGGCCCATCAGGCTTGTTTGGGGAGAACTTAACTAATAGATCAGAGTTGTTAAAATCTTAGCTAGCTCTGATTTAAAGGAATCCAGAGTTTTAGCTTCCGCTACACTAGCAGGAAGACTATTCCATACTCTAACTACACGCTGTGTAAAGAAGTGTTTTCTCAAATTCAGTTTAAAATGTTCTCCCGCTAATTTCCACCTATGGCCACGAGTTCTAGTATTTAATCATGTCCCCCCTCAGTCTCCTTTGCTCAAGGCTAAACAGATTCAGTTCCGCTAACCTCTCCTCATAAAACATTCCTCTAAGACCAGGAATCATTCTCATAGCCCTCCGTTGCACCTTTTCTAAGGCAGCAATGTCCTTCCTAAGGTATGGTGACCAAACCTGCACACAGTATTCTATGTGGGGTCTTACCAAGGAATTATATAATCGTAGCATCACCTCCCTTGACTTAAACTCCACACACCTAGAGATGTAACCCAACATCCTATTGGCCTTTTTAATTGCTTCCCCACACTGGCGAGAGTGGGACATGGAAGCATCAACATACACACCGAGATCTTTCTCATAATCAGCTACCTTTATTTCAGTGGAACCCATAAAATATCTGTACTTCATATTTCTGCTCCCTGCATGGATTACCTTACATTTATCTATGTTAAATTTAATCTGCCAGGTATCAGCCCAGTTGCTAATTAAATCAAGGTCCTGTTGTAGCCTCTGTGCTGCTAGTTCAGTATCTACAACACCACCCACCTTGGTGTCGTCTGCAAATTTAACCAGTTTACTGTATGTACTGGTGTCCATATCATTAATGTAAATTAGGAACAATAGTGGTCCAAATCAAATTCATTTTAGAATATTAAGAAAATCATCTTGCGCTCCACAGTTTCAGAACTATGCACCTAATCCTGGGAAGTTTTCAAAAAATCCATCAGTTCTTTTCAGATTTACTGTGTGCACAAGATGGCTTATACTGTCACCCTTTCTGTCTGCTAGTGTCACTTAGCACTTCTGCTTCAATTTTGTCTTGAAATGAACTTAGGCGAAGATTTTCATTCATATAATGTTTCTGTGAAGTGAATATAATATCCATCAAAGATGTAATAGAGTTAATAAAGTAATAACATAAGATCAAATACAGTTATCAAGTTCACAGCGTAAAATATCTTCTGCTGTCACCCTTCCCTTTGCTGTCACTCAGCGGTATTGCTTCGATTTTTGTGCTATTTGTCTCATAATGTTATCAGGCCAGATCTTTACTCATACAATGTGATTACAAAGAAAATGATCCACCAAGTACTTTTTAAACTACTGTTGTATCAGGATCAAGTGTCTAATGCTTCCCTTCCCATTGCTATTGCTCTTTTGATATGATTTGTTTTAAAATTTGACCACTTCCCAATCATAACATATACAATGTATCTGCGAAGTTTGAAAAAAATCCGTCAAATATTTTCTGAGTTATTGCAGCAGCAGCAAACTGGTTCTAAAACTATATGTATTCCCTGTTCAGGGAATAAATTAACAGAAAGTACTCTCAATAGCAGACGAAGCACTGCATGCCAATGAATTTGTGCTGATGCACAAAACAAAATTTGATATACAGCCAAGTAGTGAATGGCCAAAACCCAATCCTAGGTTTGTTTACCAGCAAAGCATAACCCACTAGAAATGAGTGTTGTAAATGTTTCATTTGTTGTCAACAGGGACATTTAATATCTGACTGAAAAATGTCTCACAAAAAGTGAGAAAACCTGCGGGTCTGGTCCAGAGGAACTGTGATCAGAGTAATACTCCTGAGTCACTGTGAGTGGTTGATGTCAGCTTGGGACTGCTTCTCCTTCTGGGTATAGTGTCACTTTCGGGAGGGGATAGTAACTATAAGACTATATTCTCGAGTAGCCAGATCATAAAAACAAATCTAGAGGGTGCCAAATAAATCTGTTACAGCATAGCATGTGCCAGTTAAACTGCAAAATTATTATTATGTGTCAAGCGGAATGGTCACAAAAATCAGGACAGCATATTCCACTCACAGACATTCTGAATTTGCAAAGAGGATCAGTGATCGCAAGTTAATGCTCACCCACAGAGAATGGCAGACATTTAACAGGGCAACTGCTAAACTCTACAAAACAACAGCTTCAGAATTACCACAGAACCGCATCATACCTTTGTGGCTCAGCATTGGCAGAAAAACTGCATGTTATAAGCCTCACAAAGCTGGAAATCATGGCAGGGCTGATGTTCAGAAACCAGTTTTATCCAAGGTCAATACACAAAGACGCATAACCTGGTGTAACGAGCATGAGACGTGCTGCCCTTAAGCAACAGAGAACAAGCAGTATAGGCTGATAAGCTACTGTCTAACCACCATGCAGGATTCTGCTTAAAAGGCCAAAGAATGTCTCTAACCCAGAGCGTGTGTTTACAACTCGTGATGAGAGAGACCCATAATGATATAGACAACCATACCCGGAGTCATCAGGTCCAGCGATCGCTGAGCATGGTCAGTTAGGAAAGCCATATTAATTATTTGATGTATCATATTGTGCAAACATCATTATCTTATGTTCCAATATTCCAGTGGTTCTCAATCCTGTTCACGGTGCCCCCCCGTCAAAATGCTATCATTCCAATCCTACCTAAATCAGGCTTATATGGTCCTTATTAAGCTAATAATGAATGTGGCAGGTTGAAAGCAGTGCGGGTTGGAATGAGAACATTCTAGTTGGGAGGGGGGGCGCCAGCAACAGGATTGAGAATCACTGCGATATTCAGAGATGACACATACGATTCAGCATTGGATGTCCATAGTTGTCCTTATAAGTATAGACTGAGAAACTCATTTACACCTCCATTCCTCAATAACTGTTTTTTTTTTTTTTGGAGGTTATCTTCAGGATTCAGGTTCAGGATTAATACTTCAAGACAGAGTGAAGCTCTTCTTAAGGCAATGTGTGGACATGCTACTATTAGGTCCTAGATATTAATACATTGCTATGTTTCTAATATTTCGTGGAACCCTGGATGTCTGCTTAATCCTTTAAGCCTTGTTCTGGCTGGGATAATGAAGAGACTCAGGTGGCATAGGGATGAGAATATGAAATAGGGACAAATGACATAAGGGGAAATACATGAAAAACACAGCAAGGGCCAAAAGCAAAATTCAATATTACAAAACTGGTGAAACGATACAGTTAAAGCTCCCTGGTCCTGATGCAAGACACAACACGTTCAAATGACATTAACTTTTTGGACCTCGTACAGTTTTCAATTGCCCTATAAATTAAAACTTTAATGCAGCCTGAAACTATTTTGCTTCCTACTCTCATACTTTATGGCTATTTATTAGTTTAAAAGAGAGTCATAAAGAGGAGCTACGGTCAGAGTAATTACACATGCAGTGCATTTCTGTGCGGAAATGATCAAAGTAGCAGAAAACTTAAACATGGCAGCAATTTGGTTTGGAAGATAATGACAATTATAACGAGCGCTGTGAATCATCAACCAGACTGCACAGTCAAATTTGTCTGTTGCGAGGCTCATCAGTGTTTGTGGCAAAATACCAAGT